ATAAAACAAAATAATTATTAACGTAATATTTTCCAGGACCTGGACAATATTCAGTTAAATCATCTCTCGAAGGTCCTTAATGGGGATTCTCTAAAGACATTCGTTAAAGCTTGACAAAGAAGGATCTCATTCCTGGTCCAGGTGCGTACAATATTCCACCTAAATTTAATGATGTACCGAAGTATCTATTGCCTAAACAATTTTGATACAATAAAAAAAATATAATTATTATTAAAATTATAAAAAAATGGAGAAAGAATTGGCTCATAAATTGGATGTAATTCTTAAGAAATTGAGTGATGATGTTCTAAAGATAGAATAAGATAAATTATAACATGTATTTCATTCTGTACATACTATATCTTGGATTGTAATTTAATCAATAATACCATATATAAGAGAGGAGTTTAGAGGTTAGACTATTAAAGTTTTTTAATTGATTACATAATTAATTAAATGTCTTAAAGATAATGATTTTGATGAAGTGACAAGAAAGTTATTTTAATAGAGAGCTTAAAGAAGAAGATCTTTAAGATTGATTAATTGTTCATTGTGTGATAATTATCGTAAAATGCCTTAAAAGTAAGATTCTAAATAAGCAAATTATAAGAAATACTTGGATTAATTGAAAAGAGATGGAGTAGAATTGAATTCAAAAATGGAACATATAGTATTGGAAAGAAAGATTAGAAAATTATCAGATGATGATGAACAATTTGTTTATAAAACATCAAAAGCTAGTTAGGTTGAATTAGATGAATTGTTACAAAATTCAAATAATAATAATTAAAATTAAAATTCAATAATAAATAAACCAGATACTTTTGATGCAGAAACGTAAACTGAAACTCTTACATCTAAATTTTCACTATAATCTATTTCAGAATTAAGAAACCATTTTGTAAATTACTTTTACTTACATTCTTAATATGATAATATAAAATAGATTATAGAGGAAGGAATAAAAGCATGTGAAAAATAAACTGAGATATTTTAAGATGTAAATTCAGATACTCCTGCATTAAAAGTTAAATATTTTGCATAATAATCTTTATAACATGTTACTTAAGTTTTATAACAAAAAATAATTTAGATTGAAACAACTAAGGAATTTAAATCAAAAGAATTAAAGGAGAATCTTCCTCCTTTGAGTGATATAATTAAATAAGTTTAATTACAAGAACATAAGAGAAAAGCAATAGAGGCAGGAATTATTGAATATGATCCTGAATTTGATCCAGAATTACTTTAAAATAAAAGAATAGAATTTAGAGTTAAAGAAATTAATGGATAATAAGTAATAGAAGAGGTAGTTGTAGATGTAGAGAGTGGGGAAGTAATAAAAACTAGAGCCAGATAAAGTGATCCTTAATAAGAAATTATGTTGGAATAAGAAGAATTAATTAAATAGATAAAATCAAAGGAATAAACAATAGATGAAAATGAATGGATTGTTGCTAAATATGGAAATTAGAAAGTGAAAATTGTTTAAAAATCAGATGATGTTACTTAATATGAAGTTAATACAGCATAAACTAAAAAGATTGTTAGAGTTAAATCTGTAGATGGAAATAAATAATTAGAAGAGGAGTGGATTGCATAATAAGCAGATGGAAAACATTAATATAAAGTATATTAATAGAATGGATAATTGTTATATGAAGATAAAGGTGAATCAGTAGGAATTAGATTATCAGCAAAAAGATTAGATCATAAAGAATCTATAATAGAAGAGAGGACAACTGAGAATGGTAGTGTTATGAGAATTTTAGAGAAATAAAAATATGGATAAGATACTATAAAAATTATTAAGAGAAATAGTTAACATGAAATTGTGGAATCAATTACAAAATAAGTGTTAAAAGATGATAATGGTGAAATGTATTAACATGAAGAAGAAGTTAAATAAGGAGGACTCAAAATTATGAGAAAGATATATGTTAATGGTGATGATTAAAGTAAGAAAATTGATGAAATAACTATACATCCAAATGGAAGGAGATCTAGTATTGTAATGAAATAATATAAAGATAAAACAGAAGCTGTTTATAATGATGAATTTGGAGATGAAATTTAAGTTACTAAATATACATATATAAATGAAAAGGGATTATAAGTTGAATGTTAAAGAAAAATGAATATGAGAACTAAAGAAGTATAAATGTAAAAGACTTTTAAAAATGAAGATGGTAAATAAACTATTGAAACAACTATAACTTTAGATGGATTAGAAATAGGAAAATAAATAATTATTTAAATAGGACCTAATGAAAGAATTGAAAGAATAACTAAAAATGGTAAGACAATTGAATAGAAAGTTATAGTTGATGAATAAGGATAAGAATCTATTCATATGGTTGATCATGAAAATAATATGAAAATATAGACAACAAATTTTACTAAGAATTCTGTTGAATATTAATAATAAACAATTAATTTATCTAATGGTGCTAAAAGACATATACATTAAAGATCATATTTTGATGAAAATAATGAAAAGATAATTGAAGAAGATAGAGTTGATGAATTTGGATAAAGGATTTTAATAAAAAAGAGAATTAATGCTTTAGGAGAAGAGATCATTTAAGAATTTGAAGTAGTAGAAAATGATGGATTTAATCCTGAATTAAAATAAATTAGATAATCATAAAAAAGATTACCACGTGCAGATATATAATCTGTTATTGTTATAGATATAGGAATATAAACTGAAGGTTAGATACCATTATTTTCACAAACTTAAGAGTAATTTTAATAGAAAAAATAGAATACTTAAATTATTATTGATAAACCTGATTTTAATGAATTAGATAAAGAAGCATTTAAGAAACTTTAATAAGGTAAAGGCAAAAATGATCCATAATTTTAAGAGGCTGTTAATTAAATCAAAAAATTCTTTAATAAAGGAGATGGAGAAGAATTAAAATAAGAAGAATTTAATGAATATTTAACAAAATTGAGATAAAATCATTAAAGATAATGTGGTGAATAATGTTCTCATTTATTAAGATTTTATGCAAAATTAGGTTTCTTAATTTAAAAATCAGCTTTAAATAGATAAGTTTACAAATTATAAAAAGTATAATTGTAAGCAAAAGAATCACTATGACTTGATTATGAATAATTTATATTAATATGTTATAACAACAATTAACTAAGCTATTTATAAAATATGATGAATCCATTCCATAGGATAATATCCTTTTTAAAACTTAATTTTTCAAGATGAGTAATCATAAATAAGTCACTTTACTTTTATGCAGTGATGATTTCATTTATAAAATAAGTGGTAATAATACTAAAGTTTATATTCTTAAACTCAATTATGAAGTAAGATTTTCTGTCAAAGCTGAATAAACTTCAAAACAAATACATAAATAAATGAAAGGTGATGAATTTCATACATAAATATACAAATTTACTCTTGAAAGGGATGATTGTAATTCTGTTGAATTTTACAATTTCAATTTCTAAACTATGTATTGGTTTGATTACCTAAGAAATAAATTACACATGTTAGATTATCAAACACATTATGAAATTAATAAGTTAATTGGTAAAGGATCATTTGCATCTGTTTATGAAGCCAAAGGGAAGAATGATCAGTAATTTTATGCAGCAAAAGCATTTTATAAAAAATAAGTATTTCAAGATCCAAAAGGAAGGGATTAAATAGAAAATGAAATTAATGTAATGCGTAAACTCAATCATCCAAATTTGATCAATTTACATGAAGTTTTTGAAAATAAAGCTCAAATTTATTTAATATTGGATTTAGCAAGAGGAGGAACACTTGAATATGCATTGAAAGTTATGAATGCCCCAGTTCCATTTTTAAGTGCAAAAGTGATATTTCGATAAATACTTGAAGGTGTACAATATATTCATGATCAGGGCATAATTCATAGAGATTTGAAACCAGATAATATACTTTTTAGAGATTTTATTCCTCTTAAAAGATATGGTCTTATAAATGTTGGTAATAATATAATGATCAGTGATTTTGGTATAGCCACTCCAAAAAAATAAAGAATGGCTGTATATTAATATTGTGGTACTCCTGGTTACATGGCACCAGAGGTATTTTTGACAGAAAATGATAACAATTAAACATATGATGAAAAATGTGATATCTTTTCTTTAGGTTGCATCCTTTATTATATTCTTATTGGTCATCCACTCTTTGGATAACCAGTTAAATAGACAAATATGGAAATGAAGATTGATTTTGCTTAATTAGAAAAGGATCTTAATTAAAGTCATTCATTAACTATACTTTTGCAAAAGATGTTATCTCTAAATCCATAAGATAGACCATCTTGTAGAGAAATACTTGAATCTAAAATAATGGAAGTGGAATATGGAGATGATGGTATACCTGTATTCAGAGATTTTCAGAGACCTAAAAGTAGTCCACCTAAAAGAATGTAACCATTACATCCAGATATTGATAGATCGTAAATATTATATAATAATAATTTTAGTAAGAGATAAAGTGTGTTAAATCCAAAGATGATTAAATTGATGCCAATTCTTGAAGAAAAATAAGAAATAAGAAATTCTGGAAAAGATAGAACAACAATCATCATAAAATAAAGAAATTCTCATTTTGATGAAGAGAGAACACCAGCATAAAGAGTTATTGCAGCTAGAAGATCTTCTGCTTATATTCCATCAAGTAATCAGAATAGTAGAAAATGATTATACCTATAATTTTGTTTTATCATTATTATAATTAAATTTAATAAGAAAATTAATAAATCAAATATGTTAAATTTACAAAAGAGGATAAAGCAATTATAATGAAGAGTTTTAAAGAACAACATGTAATCAATAAGAGATTTAATCAAATAGTATGAAACCTTCATCTCATACTTTATAAATACTGAACTTTTAGTTGAATGTGAATATATGATAACACACTCATTTTAAAAATTGGCACCAAATGAAAATGCAGAATTTTAGATTGGCAATAGACACTACTATCTAAAAACAACTATATGATTGAAATAAAGATCAATAGTTAATGGGCAGCATTTATAAAAGGTCATATTTATTACAGAGCCAAAGATGTTTAAAAGTTCAAATAAGATTTCCCTAAGCTGAATGAATGTGCTTCTAAAGATCTTTTTTTAACTGACCAAACAGAATGGTTTCTATCTACTACATTCTTATAAAAAATATAAGTCAAACCAATAGATGAATATAATATAGTGACTATAGAGTTAAATGATGTATATTATAAAAGAGCAGAATATAATACATTAGAATAAAAGTTTAATCCTCCTATAAGTGAATGGATTAAATATTGTTTCTGCAAAAAATTATACAATCCAAGAGAACACTATATTCAATGCAATTAATGTAATCTATGGGTCCATTATAGTTGTAGTGATAGAAGTGATAAAGAATTTAAAATTATTTCTGAATTGAAATTCATCTGCTTTTAATGTGTTGAAGAAAACAAGAACAACAAATTAAATTTATCGGATAATGAAAATAAAGATGGACAACCTAACAAACTTAATACTAATATATAAGTAAATAAGAAAAAATGATTTTATTTTATATTTTCAAAGAATATTATGGATTTCACTATTTTTAATTTTTATTTTCAAATTCATTATTATATCAAAATTTAATTTTAATAGATAAGAAGCTTTAAAGTTTGAATAATTTTTAAAACATTAATAAACTCTATCAAATTGCATCTTTTATATATTAAAACTCAAGAGGTCCAATTTAGGTTGTAATTCTATTTTCTTTTTAATTTCTTAATTCTTGTATAATAATTATCAAAATAAATATTTTTTGAAGGGAAATAATTATTTATCGAAATTCATAATAATTGACATTACACACATTATAATAATAATTATTTTTATAAGTATAAAATCAAAACTTAAGAATTCCCTTGCCTATTTTTTAATTTGAATAGTAATTAAATCTGGAAGTAAAAAATTAGATAAAGTCTTGAAAGATTCTAAATTCGATGATATCACTTATGGAATCGAAATTAGAGCAGATTTCTTCTTCTTAATGCTTATTCAAATTATGGCACTTCCTTTTATTTAAGAAGCACTCCCATATAATTAAAGAGTTTTGTCTGTTTATTCTCAATAACAAGATGTTATCGATTATCTAGGACTCACTCCCATTTATATATTAGATTTTTTTGGTATCAAAGAAATCGAATTCAGAAATTATTAGAAGAAAACATCTCAATTAATCTATTTCAATCTCTATTTCCTTTTTCAAATATTACTTAGGTGCCTAAATTCATATCACTCAATTGCTATAATAGAATCAGAGAGAGCTTGAATAAATTAAAAAAAAACATTTAAGCTTCAAAAATTTTTAATTTTATATCATAATAAATACTTGGAATACTAACCCAAATCTAAATAAATAAACTGCTTTTAAAATACTCAATTATTAATAATTCAATATAAGTTATTTGATATAATTTTATATTTAATTATCCTATTATATTGTTAAATGAAGAAAAATAACAATTAAAATATTTAATATCAAATGTTTTTTTTATTAAAAAAATAATTTTCTAAAGACTGTTTAATGATTGAATACTGCTAAAATATAAATATTTAATAAATTATCTAAATCAATACAAAACATGGAGTTTCTTTATAATTTCTATTTGTAATTTAAGTTTGAGAATAAAGATGCAGTTTATTTATTGTTCTTCTCCATCTCCTAATATATGAATAGGTTCATGCTTCCAAGTGTTGTAATTACTTGTATATTATATAATTTATGGAATTCAATTATCAGTGATAGAAAATCTAATTAAATTTTGCTAATAGAAAAACAAAAATATTAATAAAAATGTTGCACTTATATCAACCTAAGCTTTCAAATTTTCTTACCACTTTAATTGCAAGACTCAATTGAAACATTTTACTCAATATTTAAACCTAAAATGAACAAACAACAGAAATCATTTTAATTTCTTATTCAGTGTTAGAACATTACTAAAATAACAAAATTTATTGTTTATAAATAGCTCTAAAGAATAAAATCTCGGTAAAACTGTTTTAAAATAAAATAAAAATAGTTAGAAACACAATTTAAGTCATTAGTGACAAAGTATAATTAAGATATTTTAGTAACTTAATTTAATTACCACTCATAATATACAAGTCATGAATTTTCAAGATATTAATTCCTAATATAACATAATTTCAAAGGACATAAGTGTTGGGTAACTATTAGTTAAAAGATAGATGCTTAATGGAAGAGCAAGTGAATAAAATTAAAATCTACCATTAAGCTACGCTTTAGGTATTCGTGACTTTTAGTTCTACTAAAATAAGATAAAAAATATGTTAAACTACTTTATTCAAATCCACTCCTTTTCTAAATCAAATAGTACATGTTGAAAATATCCAATATTAAATTTAATGTACCCCAAAGAGTTTAGAGCAATTTCAAGAACTGCTTATCAAGTATTATCAATAAAAAAATCAACCAATCGATGAAGTACGATTAATTTTGAACTCTTTCTGAAGATGATTATGTCATACCTTTTACATATATAAATCATATTGTTTATATTTTTTTTCAATTGTATCTTTTAAAGTTTTTCCCCTAGCAGAATAAATTTTATAATAAAATATTTAATATATATTTATAATCAATTGCATATTTACAAATTTTATATATGATGATTCTCATTTATAAAGAGCAATCATCAAATCTTAATCATGATGTAAATATATAATTACCTTATTCATATATTATATATTTTATTTTAAGTTTGATAAAAACTAATTAACACAGGTTTAAACAGAAATCTTTATAGAGATATTTTAATTATAGTAAAACAGTCCTATTAATTAATAAATTTTATTGGTAGATCATATAGTTTATATTATTATTAATCCTTCTCCATTCATTTACTAAGGAATCAAGGTTAAATAATTTCTATATATCAAATCAATTTAAACTCATTTTTTCATAACCCTAAATTAAAGTTCATTAGACATCTTTATATTTAAGATTTTAGACATGATTACAAAAAATAGATTAGTTTTTACATTTGTAATTTTTGATTATGAATGTGTATTTGTTATGATTAATATTTGACATTAACATATTACTTAATTTTTGTGTTTTTAGAATTCAAAACTCTTGTATTTATTTTATTTTTCTTTATTTAAGTTCCATTTGTCAAGGTGGCGACTCTCCTCATGTAGAATTAATCTAAATATCATATAATTTTAATAATTTATAATTATTGCATTAAATAAAAAATGATGATAATAATTTTCAAAAGGTATGGACAATTGGTAATAAAATAAGATAAAATCATTTGTTTCATTACCTAAAAGATTTAAAGTTTTAAAAATTACGATGAATTTCTTCATTTATATTCTTAATGATTAATTTTTAAATTCTATGAATTGAGGATTGACAGCATTTCTGTTTTTATTGAATTTGAGACATTTATAAAGGAAAAAATTAACATTCTTATTACTATCATAACAGGAATAAATGCATTATGGAGAATTAATGATTTTAATTAAAATTTGTAAATTATTTCTCTTTTAAATTACTCAGCATTTGCTATCTTAATCAACTCTTTTGGAAAGTATTAATATATATATCTATTCTTATCCAAAAACTAGTCTCTCATTCTAATAGTTTAAATTTATTCCTTTTATTTTAAATATAATTTTGAATAATATTATTAATCTATGATAAATTTTTTAAGTTCAATTCAAATTGATTAGAAATATTTACTTCCAAATTTCTTTCTATTTATTTAATCTTCCTTCATTCAATAATATGCTTAAATAAATTTATTATTTAAATCATTAATTTTTGAATAATTTTCACGTTATATTACAATCAAATATTGAATAACACTATAATATGTATAGATAATATTCAAATCTACTTTGGAGATATAATTGGTTTAATTATTTTAAACATTTTTATCAATTGTGTATTACTTTAATTTAATCTATATTCCTTTAGTTTTAATCTATATTCAACTCAAAATGCATTTGAATCCATATTAGATACTGAAAAATGAGTAAAAATATATTTTTATGTTAATAATCAACAAATTTATTTTAAAGAATAAGAACTATAGTATAATGAAATTACAATAAAGAATAATAATATTTATAGAAATAATTAAATTTTTTAATATAATTATTCACAATTTCTATAATTTAACACAATTTTCAGGTTATAATTAATATAGAAATCTAGCAGCCCACCTTATATTAACATCTTGATTAATTATGATCTAAAATTTTCTAAGAATTTATGATAAAATAATCTTTGCTTCCATTTAAGCCATGTGTTGTCCAATACAATTTCTTGGTCCTGATGAAAATGGTAGATAAACAAATTGATGATTTTCCTTTATTGGCTCAGTTTCTAACCATCTCTTATAATCAAATTTTTCAGGATTAGAAAAATGTTTGGACAATAATGATTAAAATTAATAATCAATTATCACATTCCAACCTAAATTTTTATTGAATTGAATACCTTTTTAAATTGTAAGATCCTTTACTTTATGAGTTTGATTGCATTATCTTATCAATAACCTTACAGCTGGATTCTTAACTCTTAAAACTTCATTAATGAATGCTGATAATTTATGCAATTATTTAATTTTGTCATCTAAGACACTATCATTTTTACAAATTGTTAGAACTTCTTCTCTTATTTCTTATTGTATTTCTGGGTTTTAAGCCAAAAAATATAGACAATGATAACTTAATACAGCTGTAGTATCTGTACCTGCAAAAAACAAAGTGGTAAACTATTATATAATTTCATCAATTGTTATTTTTTAAGAACCTTGTTACTTTGATTTTAGATATTCTTTAATAAGTACATCTAAAAAGTCAGTCTCTCTAGATTTAATATCATTTTCATTTTCATCCATTTTTATTTCTATCTCTACAATCCTTTTTTATATCAATTTCTCAATAGCAAGTCTCATCTCAGAAACTCTTTATAATAGCTATTTTTCATTCTAAGTTGGAAAGAAATTCCAACCCTTAGTACCTAAAAAGAAGCTTTTAATGAAGAAATATTTTGATTTAAATCTTAATTCTCCCATATCATTTAATAAATCTGCAATTTCTATTTGAATTTCCTTGTTATTTATTTTTACTCCTTCTGCTGATTTTCCAAAAAAACTTCTTATTACTATTTATCCTGTAATGAGTTCTAGAAATTACAACACATTATCTCCGCTAATTTAATTAATCTTTTCCAGACAAACTTCATTTATCATAGGTAAACGACTTTTAAGTTAATCATATTCGAATGATTCACTTAATAGTTATCTTTATGACTTCCATTTTTCTCCCATTGAAAAAACCAAACCCTTTTTAATAACATTACTAAATATCTATTATAATAAATACTCATGATTGATGATATTAATTTTAGTATAATATTAATGATTAAGTAACATTAATTTATAATATTCTGGATCAGCAACAGCTATTCTTACTTTCCAAAGAAAATTCGATACTAATATTTTATATGGATGTTTCAGATATAAGTCTCGGTGACTTTTGAATAAATCTTTACTTGTCTTCATTTCTTTTAATGCTTACCATAATTCACCTCCAAATAGATGATATCTAATTAAACAATCATCTCCAAACTATATTTTTAATTTTATCATAGGAACCAATGGTTTCACAACTAATAGGTAAAACATAAATAGAAATAGAGCTAAGATGATCTGAATTATCATTTAGATATATTTAATTATAAGGAATTTTAAAAATAAAATAATCGACTAAAAATAATAAATTGGAATTCCTCATTTTCTTAAAATAATTTTAAATTAATTTTACAGATTAATAATATTCAATCACATATTATCACAATATACGCTTTCCTCTATATATATTTCTATTAGGGACCCTGTTACCTATCAACCTTAATAAGTATTGTTTTTTTTAAATGGTAATAAAATTAAACTACCATAATATTATATTCAAATTTTTATGTAAATATATTGCCATTTCATTTTCATTCCATTTATAGAATGAATAATCATATATATTACAATCCAAAATTTGCTCAATAAAAATTAAATGTAATTAAAAATTTACAATTATCAATTTTTACATCAATGTTGTAATTTCGTCATTTAATGTAATGATATCATTGATTAATAAGCCTCTTTATAAGAGAATATGTCATCAAAATCAAAAACTAATTATTTGGTCAATCCTATATTTCAATGCCATTTTAAGTCCAAAATTCATGTGTTGAAGGACAACATCCTCTATCCTAAATTTAGCCTATTAGAATAAGCAAATCAAGAATTTTATTAGCAGTATCAATATTTATTAGTTAGATTATATTATCTATTTCAACAGCATTTTTATTTGCTTTGGCCTTAAAATACTTCAAAAAGCTATATTAATTATTTCTGTTCATTGAATGCTCTGATGAATCTATCGCAACTCATTATAGAATAGTAGCAAATTCAGGAGAAGAATTTGTTTGTAAAAAAAAAATGATGTATGATAAACCTTATTTCGTATTTAAGTATTCTCTATTCAAATATATAGAATGCTTAAGTATTCATTTAATGCTTCAACTTAATTTTATTAACCAATTGAATTTGAAACAAAGTGTAAAACTTTGGCTGAAATTATTAATTTAAGTTCAAAACAAACTAGAGAACAAAAGATTAAGTATTTTGGAACATGTTAACTTAAAATACCAATAGAATCAATATTCATATATTCATTACATGCATTTACAGGTCCATTTAATATTTTATAATATTTTGCTGTTGCCATCTGGTTTGCAGAAAAAACAGTACTTTAACCAGTTCTGATCTTGATTTTCACAGTATTAACAGTCTATCTGAATTACTTTTTATATGTAAGATCAAGAAGAAGACTATAATAATTAGCAAATATTCATTAAGACGTAACAATTAAAGAAGCAGATTAATTTAAACTTATCAATGGAGCTGATCTTGTACCAGGTGATTTACTTATACTTAAAGAAAATTAAACATTAAATTGTGATTGTGCTATTATATCTGGTGATGTTATTGTAAATGAAGCTACTTTAACAGGTGAAGGTATACCTATTCCAAAAAGTGCATTACCAAATCAAAATTCTATATTTGAACTTGAAAAAATGTCTTAACATTGTTTATTTGAAGGAACTAAATTGATTTAAGTTAATAATACTTAAGAAAATGTTGCTATTGTACTTAGAACAGGTTTTACATCTTTAAGAGGATAATATTTTAGAAATGTACTTTTCCCTGAACCTCCATCAATGAGATTTTATATCTAAGCTGCAAAATTCATTATTGAAATAGCATTTATTATTTCTATTGTATATGGATTCCTATTGATATAATATATACCAATGGAATTCAAATCAAGTATTTTAGTTTTAAGATTCTTGGATAATATTGTTTGGTCAATTCCACCATCAATGCCTATTTTCTTTTAAATTTGTAAAACTGCTAGTTTGGTTAGACTTGAAGCCAAAGGAGTTATTGGAAATAATGCTGATAAAGTAGAATCAGCTGGAAGAATAGATACTTGTTGTTTTGATAAAACAGGTACACTTACTACTTTGGGATTCAAAGCAATTAAAGCATTTCCAGAAGAAGAAAAGCCAATTTTGGATGCCATTATGGGTTGTTGTCATCATTTAATAAAATTAAACGGTTAATTATTAGGAGATCCTTTAGAAATTGAAATGCTTAATTTTGTTGGTTGGTAATGTAATTTTCATAATAATCCTGTAACTATTGAGGGAAATGGAAAAATCTATACAATTCATAAAATATTTGACTTTAGTTCATAAAAATCTATGATGAGTGTTATTGTAACTGATGGATCTAAATATTATTTATATGCAAAAGGTTCTCCTGAATCAATTAATTCAATTTCAATTAAAAAAAGAGATGATTTAATTGAAGAATTTAATTTAAATGCTATAAAAGGATATAGAGTTTTAGGATTAGCATATAAAGAATTATAATAAAATTAAATTGATTAATAAAGAGAATAATTAGAATAATAATTAAATTTTGTTGGTCTTTTAGTTATGGAAAATCCATTGAAATCAGATACATTTGATATTATTACAACTTTAAAAGAAACAGGATTAGATATAAAAGTAATATCAGGTGATAATCCTTTAACAACTATTTAATGTGCAAAATTAGCTGGTATTGTTAATTAAGATAATGAAATTACATTTTTAGATTATAATTAATCAAATTAAGAAATTATACTTTAATTTAATAACAATTAATAAATTATAAAGGAATCATAACCAAATAGTATTTAAGAATTAGAAAAACTTTTAAGTACTCAATAAGAATTAGCATTAACAGGTAAGTTTTTAGAATATATGTTTAATAAAGGTAATTTTTTAATTGAATCTAAAAATTCATAAAATAGTTTTGGTAAATAATAAAGTAAAGAAAAGATATTTACTGAAATTAATTAAATTGATATTGATGATGGATCTTTTGCATAAATTGCAATTTCTATTATTAAAAAAACAAAAGTATTTGCTCGTTAAAAACCTGAATAAAAGAAATTGATTATATAAATAATATAAAGTTTTGGAAGATAAGTATTAATGTGTGGAGATGGAGCTAATGATTGTGTAATTATTTTTATTTTATTTAATTTTAGTCAGCTATTTCATAAGCATAAGTTGGAATATCATTTAGTGAAGCTGATGCATCATATACAGCTCCTTTTAGTAGTAAATCTACATCATTAGATTGTGTTGTTAAAGTATTATTATAAGGCAAAGCAGCTACTATGACTATTATTGAAGTGTTTTAATATTAAATTAGTGTTAATACTTTAAAATTCATAGCTGTACTTTTTACATTTTTAGAAGCTGAAACATTTGCAGATTTTTAATTTACTTATACATCTATTATATCAAATATTCCTTTATTGATATTTTTATGTTTATCTGGTCCATGTGATACTTTAGCAAAATATAATCCATTAGATGATTAATTTGCTATTTATAATTAAATTTAAATTTATAATAATTTAATTTGGGGAGCAGCAGGGTATAATAATATATTATTATTTTTAGATTGATTGTTAATTTTTTTATTTCATAAGCAGTTAGAGATGTTCATACATGTGAAATAGATGAACCAATTATTAATTGTATACCAAAACCAATTGATGAATTAAAAAAATCTGGAGATATACAATCTGTAATGTTTATGAGTTTAATGTTCTTCTTTATGACATTTGCCATTAATCTTTACATTTCCAATCCTTTCAAATAAAGATATTTTAGAAACTATTTATTACTTTTATGGACATTATTAGGTTTCATTTTATTCTTTGTTTCAGCTATATTTCCAAAAGGAGGAAAATGGGCAAAATTGATTAATGTCAATGATAATGCGTAATCATATTTATATTTATATTTATAGTTTCTAAGGTTATAATTGGATAATGATAGCTGTTGTTGTAATAGCCTCCTTATTTGGATTCATTACTTAAGCTATTTTATAGAAATATCTTCCTTCAAAAAAGAAAATAGAATTTTGAATTATTATTAAATAACAAATTTATAATTGGAATAATTAGTTTTACTTAATCATTTTTCAATAAAGTTATGACATTAATAATTATCCAAAATTCTTACTTCTGAGGGTTCATTTTAATTTTTTGGTCCCAATCTCAAACATGGGTATAATTCTTTAGATATATCAATGGCAACAGACTAAACAATATATAATCAATCTACATATTCATTTAAATTATCTAAATTTCTCCAAATAATCTTTTTTTAAATAGTATTGACTTCAATAAGAATTTTAGAGCCTTTTTAAAATTCAAATGCAGTTTTAGTACCTTATGGTTTTGTACTTTCAAAACAATTTCCAGAATTAACCATTAAATAAGAACTAAAATAAATTATAAATAAAAAACCCATGTCCTTCTTTTAATTATTAAGCTTTTATATTTATGTCTTTCTGACATATTCCTATGGCTGTTCTTAATCCAACAGAAATTATTTCAAATACAAAAGAAACCCTTTTCTATAATGGTATCGGAGGATAACCAATTACAAACTGATAACCTAAATTTTTTTTCAAAGCTATTTTTCCTGAATCGGAAATATCAATACTATCTACATTATTTTGAAAGACAACATTAAGAGGTTCTATTAATTTGCTCTGCTCTCTACATAGTTTTTATTTATCTAAGGTGTTGATGAATAAAATAGTATACTTTCATAGTTTTAAATTTCTTCATATTTTAATGTAATTGATTAAAGATTTTTACAAATATTCTATAACATAGGTATTAATTCTTTTTCTATTTTTTTGATAGCAATAAGTTGATCAATAGCAGGGTTAAATTATAAATGCGATAGATTATTGAAGTTTTATTAGTGGAAGTAGATTTTTGATTATTAAAATTTAGCAATTTATGATATTTAATTTTTTGCTTGTTAAAGGTGTTTTGATAAAGAATCAATAATTAAATTCGCTTCTTTTAGTTTTAGTTCAAATTAATTTAATGAGCATAAGTCGTTTACATGATTAATGTGTAGATCTTCGATGCAATTTTAACAATAAGCTCTTTGGGAACAACAGTCTTCATTAAGGCAGGCTCCAAGAATTTATTAGTTATTATGATCAGAATGTAAACACAATAATTAGATTTCCATTTGTCTATTTATATTATAAAAAATATTAAAATGAAATTATTATTTTTAATAATTATGAAAACTCAATCAAATTGTAAATTTTCTGGTTAACCTCTATTAACCGTCACAAAGGTATTTATAATTGTTTATTATGGAACTCTTGAAGTATCATCTACTTGATTTGCTAATTATTATTATCCATTATTGTGTTTGGCTACATTTTTTTAATAACGTTTGTAAACATAAAATAGGCATCCCAAGAATAATAAGGATCCGACTATAATAATAATTATTTCATAGATTGCAATTCCTTGATTAGATTGATTAATGGTGGCTGTAATATCACCAAGTGATGGTAAACAGACACCTTTTCCTAAGTAATAATTGGTATCACATTCTAAACATTATGTCTATGATTGACAAACTAGACAATTATCAGAACATATCGGAACACATTCATTTTCATTATTTAATTGATATCCTAAATCACAAGTTATTAAATCGCATTTATTATCAAGAGTTGTTTGATATCCTTGTTCGCATTATTCACAAATATTAGGTTATAAGCAAGATTAACAATTGATAGGACAATCCATTATACATTTATCATTTTCAGTGTAATATCCTTGAATACAAACAATGCATGTATTATTACTTTCACAATATTGACAATTTTATGAACATGCTATTTAAGATGGTTTTACTGGTTCATTTGTGTCTACAAATAAGATTTCTTATAATTTGAATTATTGCATGAAGAAAGTGTTTACAGTTGAATCATCTATACTTTCGGCTGTCCATGTAATTACTAACTCATCATTATTTAAGATTTAAATTCTTGGATATTATGGATGAATTCCTTATCTTTTAACTTTGATTTAAGATGATTTCATTTTTCCTGAATTATCAAACACTTAGAAATATACATCTTAAGATTTGAATGTTTTATCCACACTTCTCCAAGTGATGATAAATCCATTAGGAATTGCCACAACATCTGGTTATTATTCTCCATATGATTATGATGTTAATAATTATGGTTCATTTTATTTCTTATCCAAATTCAAAATCTGATATGATAATACAAATTATGGAGGGGAAACATTTGTGCTTTTGGATTCAAAAACATATATCATATTACCATCATCTAAATTTGAAGATTTAATTGTTTGATTAGGTTAGGCTATTTAAAGTGGATCACCAATTTAATAACCATCTTGAGACATTTAAGCTAAATAAGTGTATCCTTAACTTGTATAAGTAATGTAAACTTCTCCATTTTAAGATGCTGAAATCAAGGGAATATTTGTGTAATCAGCATTCTATAAAGTTGACAATTGACCAATAGGTTCTAATTATGAATTAAAGGATTAAATAAACATAGTTGCTGTTTATTTCAAATTCTATGCTTATTAATTAAACCATCCAATAACAAATTAATTATTTGTTGTAGGTTTAATTATACAAGGTGCTGCCATACTTGTTAAATTTTATTTTGGTTATTCACTTATTGTAATTGCTGAAGACAACTAAGTATTATTATTATCAAATTTCTTAAATTTAACCTTCATCATATCACCTTAAGTCTAATCAACCCACAAAACAACTAATTCATTCTTTATAGCAGCTAAATCAGCAAACAATCTAACATCAAAACTATTTGACTATTATAATAATCTTCTAGTTCCTAAAAGATCTTCTTCATTTACTTTTGTAGGTCTGCCAACTGGTTTTCCATTACTTCTATATAATTATATATAAATTCCTTCATTTATTCCAGTTTCATACCACATAAGAACATAATCCTTACTCTCAAATACTGCCTTTAATGGGTTATCCTTTGATGTTTAATAAATATAAATAGTGATATCCACACATAATCTATCCCTTTCACTCCAATAATAAGACTCTTTACATTGAGTGCATTTATCTTCACCACATATTTAACAATTTTCATCACAAGTATATTTACATTTAAATTAATCTACTATTTAATAGCCTAAAGGACATTTCAAACAAGTTTACAATTCATCACAAAGTTCACATCCAACTTAACAAGTATTTTTAACACAAAGATGATTAATTAATTTGTATCCAACATCACAAATATTACACTATCCAGGTAATGAACATTATTTGCAATTTGTTGGACAAGGCATAACACATTTATGTGTAATAGAATCATAAAGATAATCTGGATGACAATCACCATCTCTACAAGAATATTCATTTTAACAAACATTACAACCAAGTGGACAAATAGGAGGATCGATTGGACTAGGTAAACGTCCTTGAGGACCTATTTTTACTAATTGATATTGATATTCAGCTGTTGTTTCTGAATATGAAATCCATATTACATAAATGTCTTCACCAGTAATTTTTGTTCCTGTATAGAAGAATACATTATTGTCTAATCTGTTCAATTTTTGAATTTCACTTAATGGTAATCCTCCAAATTCAGAATACTGATTGCAATTTAATAAACTAGATACTACTGATTCTTAATTCCATATGATATAGAAAGAAGAAGTTGTTGTAATAATAACTGGATTCTATAAAACATCATTAGATGTAACAATAATTTTTTCATTATCAATAACATCAAAGTTAAAAGTTAAGAGTAAGTATTTAAGTTAATTGGAGGAACTTTATAGTAATTAATTTTTAGATCTCCAAGCAACAACAAGATTTCTATTAGTCAATTATTAAATGCTAATAGAACTATAATCGATATCTCCGTTGAAAATTGGCCAAGTCATACCTTCATTTATGTAATCTAAATTAGAATTAAATTTCCACCATCTAATTTCCATAAAGTATTATGTTATTATAAATTCATTATCAATATAAAGGATTTACTTTCTTGAAATTTAATCAAAAGTATCCATCAATTTTCTTTGAGGAATCTTGGTATATAATTATCTATCAACTATATGTCCAAAGAGTTCAAATTATCCAATGATATTTTGGATAGACTAGAAAATATAGTAATTTCCATTTGATGCAAAGAGATATACTTTTCTATTAGTATGTTCATAGTAATCAAAATCAAATGTATCAATAGTTTCTAATCCTAATTAACTTAAACTTGAATCTAATCTTATTTATTTTAATTGAACTTATTTAACACTATAAGAATGTTCTGTCCAATAAATGATAATATCTTAATCTATTACTAATACATCAAAATTATAAATATTTGACCATTCCCCATCAATTTCAATTCTATTATTATATTTTGGTTAGGATTTATCAATATCATTAATTAACATTAAGCTCACATCTAAATAATATTTATTGTCAATTTATATTAGTGATGATCCATATATTAAAACAGAAGTTTCACCATATTTCTGAATAGATTTAAAGCTTGGATATAATTTACTTGGATAACCTGGAATTGGTAATGGATAAGGAATAGGATCTGGAGTAATGTGAATACAATGTCCAACTACATTCAATTCAAATCCTGGTAAACAAATATCACAAATATTAGATGTATTACAAGTTAAACAATTTTCAGGACATCTAGGTTTACATTCATTATTAATAAGATCATAATCTATTTAACATTTGATGCATGTTGTTGATTCTTAACATTTTTCACATTTATCTGGACAAATTGGACCACCTGGATTTGTTTATTCACCATTTGAATTATATCTCATAAGATAAACTCCATATTCTGAATCAACATTTGCTTTCTAATGCATTCCTTACCAAACAACTACATATTAATTATTATTCAATAATGAAAGTTAAGGTAATTTTGCAAATGTAGTTATTAAATTTACTTCTTTAATTGATGTTAATGGAACTAATGCATTATCTAAGATTTGCATCTTTAATTTTCTTGATCTAAATATTGGATCCATTCTATCAGTATTTTACCAAACAACAACAATTTAATCACCATTGAGTGTTATAATGTCTGGATTATCAGCTCTAGTATCAGACAAGTCATCTAATTTAGGACTGGTTGTGAAAATATTAAATTGATTATCATAGATGCTCACCCTCACATGTTCATCATAAATATATGATACAATATATTCTCCCTTTGAATTAGTGCTTATTCCTGCTGAAATACTGCAATCCCAATTAGAATCTATGTATCTTTCATATTAGTATTATCCTTCTAAATTAAAAATAAATGCTGTCAATTTACAAGAGTATTTTTATATTGCAACAAAATTGAGACCATTTGATGCTATCACAATTTCCCTAACTTATTCAGACTTACTCCATATATGACTATTTTATTATACACCATTTGAATCAACTAAAGTAATATAGAAGTTTGACATCCAATCAAGATAACTTATCCAACAAATTACGAATTTACTTTAAGGTAATGATTATACCACAAAAGGTGTATCATATTATTCTATATATTCTACTTTTATTTTGTCTATTATGACAGGTTCACCAATTCTTAATAGATTCTTATCAAATCTTTAATAATATAGTGTTGCTTATTATTGAATTTAACCATCAGCCCAAACTATGATTACATTTTAATTATCAAGTATTGTTATATCAGGATAATATTATTAATTAAGAACATTAACATTTACTCTGATTTCACTTCCTATTCTTTCAATTAAAGAATTGAATTTTTAAGCATAAACACCATAACCATCTCCATCTTAATTTTCAGCTTACCAAACAACAATAAAGCTACCATCACTGAATGAAGCCACTCTTGGATTAATTTAATTGTCTGATCTCTTTATAGGAATTGGAATTTCCATAAATTATCCATCAGGAATATAACATTCCCCTAAATCATTTAGATATGCACCATCTTAACAAATACTACAAGATGTTGGATTGTTACAACTTTCACATAAATTTGGACATATGACTTTACATTCTTTATTATTTATATTTTCATAATGGTCATAACAAATATCACAAATGTTATCATTTGGACATTTTTGACAATTAGGTAAACAAGCAAATCTCTAGAAATAATCTAATTAATAATTCTAATCTAATCTAACAATCTAAATAGATCCTTTATTAGAATTATTCGATGCTTCTATCCAACTGAATAATTATTATCCATCAGATAATTATAAAGAATCAAATGATTATTATTTCACTGCAAATTTAGATACAAATGCTTGACTTAAAGATGCTGCTGGATCCCAAGATCTAAATGTTTAATATTTCCATCTTGACACTTCACCAAACACTTAATACCCCAAAAATAATTGTTCATTCCATAAAGAGTTTACTATTCTATAATCAATGCAATAATGATTATAAGTTAAATAATCTAAATGGTTTTATTCTTGAAGAGATTCAATATTAATAATTATTCCCTTACCATCTCTACCAATCAAATATAAATTGCCATCTTATGATTTGAATAATCTTAGAACATTATAAGAATAATAATCATACCACCAGAACCACATATTCAATTAACCTTCTCTTAACTTTTCACCCTTATAATTATAAACTTAAATAGATTATCTATTTAAATCATATTGAAAACTAGCTACATAGATTTAATCACTATAAAGTATATGTGATAAATTCTATATCTTGCAATTATTTGATGAATCAACAATACCAGTTGAAGGTTATCCTTCCATATAGAATCCAAAAGGTTGAGTAGTTAATTCAATATTGAAATTGAAAACAAATACTTCAACAACAATACATTTTCTAATTTCTGGATTAATATTAAATTAATTAACAACTTATTATCTAACTCCAGTGATTTCAATAATGAATCCATCAGTAAAAGTTTATAATTTCTAATTTTGCCATTAATATGATATAATAAATTCTTCTTTTATGATATTTGTAATATCAACTTTGTCTTTAATTACATCCAAATTAGAATTAATGATTAAGATTTCACTAAATTATTAATTATAAATTAAGACAACCACATTTGAATTTTATGATTTTACTTAAATAAATACATCTTTAGGTAATAGATATACTTATTTATTAGAAATGATTTAACTTCCAAATTAAGTAAAAGTAGATCCCTTTAAGACATAGCCATCATCTTTAGTATCTAACCATACATGTATAATAGTTCCATTTTCAACTGATACAATAGAAGTTGAATGGTCATTAATAACATTAGATTAAGCTAATTTATACTCTTTATTTGTTTAATCTATTATAGTACATACATCAAAGTTATCTTCAAGGAAATAACCATCTTTACATAACATACATCTCATTACTCCAAATTCACAAACTTAACAATTTTCTATTGTGCATTTAGGAACAATTATTTAACATTATTTGACATCATTCAATTCATATCCTCCAAAACATTCTATACAACCTTCTTGATTACATCTAGAACAGAATAAAGGACAACCAATAGGTTATGCTAAAGGATATACAACTCCATTTCTGTCTAATTTCTAAACATAAATGTCATAATCTTAATACCAAGATACAAGTATAGAACCATCTGAGAGTTTACTAATTTATGAATTGATTGGTCTATTGCATATTGAACTAACAGGTATAAATCCAGTTTATAAATTTCCATATAAATCAAAGTATGCTATTCTAAGATCAATATTCTAATTATTTCTTTCACTTCTACCAGACCAAGATATGGCAAATCCATTACTAATAGCAGTTACATCTGGTCTTTCTTCTTAAACATAATCCATTCCAATATATTGTATCTTTACATCTTTAAACTATTCATCTGTAATCATATATGCTATAACTGTTTATTTATGAGTAGGAACTCCTTATTCATTAACTCCAACATTGTAGACTTCCATTACATCTTTCCAAACAACTACTATTTTGCCATTTTCCAATAAAGCAATTGATGGTTGATATGGTGATCTGAATTAATATTAGTTTATGTTCTAATGATTAAATTCAAATAATTAATTTCCAAAGTTATCATATGTTTTTAAAATTAATCTATTAGGGAACGTGACAAAAGCCACTACAAGATAATTCTAAGTAGTTAAAATGCTAGGCTCTCTCTCATAACTTTAAGAGAAATAATCTATGTATCTATTATAAAGATACTAATTGTAATAATTATCATAACAACCCCACATATCACAATATAAGCCATGAATTTCTGAATTAATTTGAAAGAAAGAATCCACTTAATCTTAATCATTTACCATCCTGATCCAATTTTATCCATTTCCAAATAAAGCACAAACATAGGAATTGTCCTATTTAAATTCTAAAGTGATTTAGGATATTCCATATTAATTTACATTGTCTAAAATTATTATTTATTCATTGTTTATTAATTATAGGTCAATGTTAAATTTAAGTGCCTTAGCATTATTCTAATTATTACTCACCCACCCTAATATAATTTTATCTTCATTCTTAGACACTGCAAAGTCAAAATGATTGATTCCTTCTTCCTCCAATAACATTACTTAATCTCCACTCAGATTTCCTAAAGAATCATAGAATTATCCAATAATCCTATTATTTGATTATAAACTAATCAACAATATTCTACCATCTAAAAGTGCTTTAATTCTTGGAGTATTTTAAGCTTAATGATTACTTGATGAAAGTTTAGTTTCTTTAATTCTTGAATTATCAATTTAGACGCATTCAACATTATCTTTTAATTAATATCCATCTTAACAAACACGACAAATTCCTCCATATTATCCATTAAAATCACATAATATACAAGATTATAAATCACAGCTCTTTTTACATTTGTATGTTTCATCTACAAAATATCCATTTTTACATTCTAGACATTATTAATTATTCTCTTAACAATCCATGCAATTTTCACCACAAGAAGTCCATTGTTTTATTTTATTACAATTTTTATCTAATTTATCAAATATTAAATGCATGTTTCCTTTATATTTGACAACTTAAGCCAATAATAATGTCTCCAGTTAATAATTCACAATAAAATGTTAATTTCTCAAATGATCAAACCAATCAAATTTATTATTTGAAAATTTAAATGGAGAAGTAATTTAATTGAAATTCAAATTATAAGTAGAAATATATAGATCTTGAATATTTGGTCTATTAGTAATAAAAATAACATTCTTAACTATTGCTACTGAACTAGTTATTTAATCCCAACATCCAATACAACATCCATAACAGTGTAATCCACCCATAGATTCTAAATTTATTGATTTCTCAACTTATAGATTAAATTTCTCATCATAAAATTATCCATATACTTATCTATTAGTAAAATAGACCAATAAAAATTTATTTATTTCTATTTCAAATAGATTGAATTTAGGATTAAATCCAGCTCCCCACCAATCATTATTAGGTATTTCTACACGTTTATTTAATATAAATTATCCTTCTTTATTGTAAACAAACACTTAAATACTATTTTTATTTTCTTCCCAAGTATTATATAGATGTGTGCCAAAAGAAATTATAATTGAGTTTACACTTTCTAATACTTGAATAGCTTAATTCTATTAATTAATAAAATAATAGTCATAATTCCAATAATCCCAATATTCATTTCTATTGAAATAAGTTTAAATAATTATATCATTCTTAACAAGATAATATTCTTTGTTGTAAATTCTTAAATGTAGTTTGGGATTATAATTAGATAAATATCCATCATTATTTGAAACAAATAATATCACAAATCCTCCATCAGATAAAGAGTTGATTTATAATAAATTTTAATTTCTCCAATATTCTGGAGATCCCCAATAATAAGGATAGTGTAAATAATCTTATTTAATAGATCTACCTTCTTAATCGAAAACATATAGGATAAATCCATCTATCCAACCAGTATCAAATGATCTTTAAACAATTGCAAAATTACCACCTGTTAATGCTGTAGCTTTTGTTAATCTTCTACAACAAGTTCCATCTATTAATTTTCCTTTAACAACGATGTTACCTGCGCCATCAATTATATTCATTTAATATTAGTCTCCCAAATATTATTAATAAAGAATAACAATATTTCCATTTGATAAAGTCAAAATTTGATTTATCATGTAATCACCATCAAGTTAATAAAATTATTGAACTTATTATTCTTAAACTTTGACACAATCTCCCTAATCATTTATTACATATCCATCTTTACAAGATTAACAATAACTCCTAAATTAACCCAAGAATCTTGTACAATAATTACAATTTGATGAACATATTGGTAAACATATTAATTTTTGTTAATCAAATTAATATCCCTCCATACATGCTTCACATAAATTCTATTTGCTGCATTATTTACAATAAGTTTAACATACTATATTTTCAATTGATTATAATTAACCAGCCATATTATATCTCTTAACATAAACTCCATTTCCACTCAAATCTTCTACATTTCTTTCATTTATATATCCTATTCCATTAATAGTATTAATTATTTATGTCCATGTTATTATGAACTAATCATTTGATAAACGAGCTACTCGAATATTTGTAACAGATCCATGATAATCATTTACTTATAAAGTACCATTTGATATTTGATCACCTATGCTATTAAATAATATTAAGCTAACTTAATCATTTTAATAATATGGTGTTAATTTTAATTATTTAAATGCTATTACATATCCAGAATTCATACTCAATAAATTAACATCTGTTATTTAGTATTCTTACTAAATGATTTAAGGACTTATAGTAGATGATAACGATAAGTTTTATTTGTAAACTAATAATTAATTAAGTTAGGATCCTACACAAGCAATTAAAATTTCATCTTCAGAAATTGCAATAATAGATGGATAACTAAAGGATTAAGAATTTGGTATTAAATAATTATTGACTTTTGAACCTAATTCATTAATAAAGCTTATTCTTATTCCATCCTATGATTTCCAAGTAAATAGCAATAAATTATTTAAAGTAGATGCTGATGTCTATTAATAAAAAGAAGTTTGACCTATTGAAATTGAAGTATATTCTTCAAAGTTAGAATTATATTGTTTTAAGTTGATGTCAAAATTATTAGTTTACTATTATAAAAATAGTAAAACAGATAATTACCCACTTTAAGATATTGCAATCTTATGATGTACATCAATATAATTTACAAATGATTACAAATTTGATACTATGTCAGTTGTTGAATCATAAACTACTATTTCATCACCAATTCTTTCAAACGTTAATGAAAATCTCTACATTAGAATTCTTCTTCCTGCATTTGAATGGTTGTCTTTCCAAATAATAATAAATTAATTATTAGGTAATGCAGCAATATCTGGCTCCTCTTAAACTCCTATATTATCTTTTGTAACAAGAGTTTCACCACCTATCTTATTCATTTATTAATCATATAATTGCATATAGATTGATTTACCATTTTTATCTTAATTTTCACTATTCCAAACAATAACTGATTGATAATTACTTAAAGTTGCAATTCTTTATCCATATTGATTTCCACTTTAATAAGTATTAATTAAAGTTTGGATAATACTAGTATCAGTTGGTAAACATTATTGGAAATTATTTAATTTATATCCAACTTCACATTCATTACATTAAAATAAAGGTGATTCCCAATTACGATCACAAACAAGACAATTTTTATCACATTATCTTAAACATTATCCATCAATTAATGTGTAACCTGTATTACAATTTAAACATGTTAAACTTGCATCACATCTTTAACAACGTTATTAACAACTTGGATGACCAATTAATTTTTATTAATCACCTAATACAGTAACTAAATTCATTAAAATCTAACTATTTGATTCACTTGTTTATCCAACACTAATAACAAGTATATCACCATTTGGATATTCATAAGTAATAAATTACTCAATCTTTTAAGACAATATATTTATCTACACTTTTTTATCCATAGCTCCATAATCAAAGAATGATTATAATTTTATTGTTCTTCTAATATGATTTGGATAATCTTGTGATCCATAAATTATCGAATATCTATAATATCCATACTAACCATTTGAGCCAGCTAATTAGGGCAAATATATTTCATCGAATTAATTAGAAGAAACTTATTATTTTCCTTCACAACCCCAATTCCAACAACGAGAATAATAAGACTTTTCAATTAAAAATCCATTAATTATAGTTTTTTCAATCCATGAGAGAATGAAAAAGTTATCTTATCTCAAGAATCCATATGGTGATGATATTTAATATTCAGCCTATATCATTAGTTAGGCTCCATCAAAATATCCACAACCATTCCAACATCCTGTTTCAAAAGTATGATGAATATACAATTCTTTATTATTTCTAACATACATAATACCATGATAATATCCATTCAAACTAATGATATTTAGATTATCAACATTTTAATCAGGATCTATCAATTGAATAGCTTATACTAAACCACTGTCTTATTCATAAATAGTTGAATAACCAACTGTTTTTCCATTTTCATAAGCTATATATGCAATTATTAATTTTCTATCAAATCTTTTAATTACAACAGGGTTTTATTTACCTAAGGGTGGTAATGTAACAAAAGCTATAGTTATTTCAGTTGATTAAGTAGTTCCGAATCTATCAAATATTTATAATTGAAGACGACAAGAAACTGAGCATTATCCTTCAAACCAAGCTAATGCAATTAGATCACCATCTAAAACTTCAACCATAGCATATAGTTTATCATTCTCACCATGTAATGGTATTAATAATTATTATTCTTCTTTCAAATTATTATATAATTTCATCAACAACTATTATTTTCCATCAATGTTGTTATTCCAAACTAAAACAAATCCATTATCTGAAAATACACTGGTTGATACTCTGGTGATTGAAGAATCCTCAATTTCAGCTAAGACTCTTTCGTATTACTTAGTAGCATCATAAACACATTGATCATTTATTAAATAATAATTGGTTTAGCAAATATCACATACATCTTTCTATGTACACACTTAGCAATAAGTAGGACAAATCAATTAACATTAACCTTAATCAGTATTATAATAATAACCAGAATAACATTTAGCACATGTATTTGCAGTTTAACAATTTTCACAATGAGTCTAACATAATACTGTATTTAAAGGAAGTAATTAAAGCATTTAGTTATATCTTGTTGCAAGTAATTTTTATCCATTTAAGTCTTTATCTTACCATACAACAATCATTTAATTATTTCTTACTGATTAAATAAATATTCTATTTGGTTAATAGCTTTATTGTATCAGATTCTAAATTTCAGTTATTTGTGTACCATTGTTATAAAAACCTTAAGCTTTTATTTATTTTGTTGGAAAATTGATTGATGATTATTCAATCCAAACTACATAAAATCCTTATTCAGTTGCAGCAACATCAATTTATTCAATCATCAAATCAGAATTTTGGTTATTTAATTCAATTTTATGTTAATTGAGTTGTTTATTACCATGTGATATAGTTAATTAAATCTCAGCATTATTGTTTGAGATGTCTAATTTATTTAAATTGGCCAATATAAGTGTCTACTAGTTAAGATCAAATGTTTAAACAGTATTAACTTAATTAAAATTATAATCAGTTGTAATTTTGAATTTTTGTAATTAGAAAGATCCATCTTCTAACTGCACTTATATTTTATAACTAATATAGTATGAGAGATGATCATAAGTTATTTATAAATCCTGCAATTTTTAATTGTAATTTCCGATACTATTTGATGAACAGACAAAGAATTTATTATCATTAGAATAATAATAATCTGCCTTGCACAATTTATACAATCTTAAATATACATCAGATTCGGAATTCATTATTTATTATACAAGAAGTACTTCTTTTTCTGAAATAACCTAAATTGCATAAGGAGTATCATTAATTGTATATGATAATATTCTGATTCCAGAATCTACCCAAAATGAATATCTAGTTTCAAAATTTAAATTATAGAAATGAAGATACATCTCTGCTCCAAATTCAATATTCCCACATATTGTTGATAGAATATTAAAATAAGATGTAGAGTATATTTTAGATGCATATTAAGTACATACATTAATTTTAACGTCTGATCCAACTTACTATCCATGAACATCTATTTATTTAATGAATGTCTATTAATTATTATATTCATCCTTTTACATCCAACTAATAAATAAATTTCCATTTTGTGCTAAATCTATATCAATTTAATCAATTATCTAAACATTATTTTTTAAAACAGCTGTCATATTCTTTTATGATAATTCACAAACATTAAGTTAACTTAATTAATAGCCTTACTGACATACTAAACATTAATCTTTAGTAACACAATTAGAACAACCTTATGGACATTATAATAAACATTTATTCTATTCAACACTTAATGAGTAATCAATATTACATGCCAAACAATCATTTTATTCATTACAATTCTCACAATTTTATGGACACTATTTACCAAATCCTACAATCAAATTCTCATTCAATAACATTCTTTCAATGTAAACTTAATTTGTAGATTAAATCTTTGAAGAGCCATATGCTAACCAACTAAGTATTAAATATTAATTGTCTTAATTCAACACTTTCAAATTTTAAGGAAGCACTGAATTTGAATTAATAGTTTACTCAACAATCACATCATTAAATTCAAATCTTACATATTTGATAGTTGTAAATCTATCACTTAGATCATATTCCTCATATAATAATACAAAGCTATTTTCTGTAAAAGCGTTTAATTATGGTTTTTTGGCTTTAATTGTATTATCTGTTGTATATAAAATGGTTGAATCTTTCCAATTAAACACAATAATGGTTTGAGCTAATTCCATAGCAATCATAAATCTATTTTTATTTGAAATTTTGGAAAAAGATGGATTTATTAAATTTTAGCAAAACCACTAATCAGTATATGAAAAATACTCTTCGTATAATCTTACTCCAACTAAGTTGAATTAAATAAATTAAAGGCTACATCCTCTTGTAATGATAATAAAGAAGTATAATTCATCAAACTCATAATCGAATCTTGACTCTTCATCATTATAAGAATAATTCTATATAATGTTTGTGTATCCAATAAATTGATTTATTAATAACTCTCCATTATAGGTGTAAAAACCAAGATTTAATTGGACGTTATCACCACTATCCAAACCTTTCAATATCAAACAAACTGAATTTTCAAATCCAACAGCTATTAAATTGTTTTGAACATCTCCTCTATATTAAAATCCTTAATTCTATATCTATAATCTAATAACAGTTGAAAATTCAAAAGTTTTTGGATTAAATTATCTCTATCTAATAACAGTTGATCCTTCAGATTATTCCAATGTATATAAATATGCAGTTGTATCATTTACTAAAACAACATCATATCCTGCCCATCCTTAATGATTCATTTGATGTGCTTATATTATTTCTCCATCATTTGCTAATACTCTAAATTATAAAACCTATTATTAAATTAAATATTCTGAATAATAGACAAGTAAGCTTCCATCTTAAAATTGTTTTACTTATTAATTAGATTTATGTGTTGATTCAGAAATGCTGACTTTCAATTCTTATTTTGCACTGTTATTTTAATTAACACATTGCATTTTATTATTTAATACATATCCAGATTCACAAACATCACAACTATTTTTAGTAGAACATTAAACACAATTTGTTTAACATTAGATTTAACATTTTTAATTATTCAATACATAACCGGTGCTGCATTTTTAACAGATATTGTTTTCACAATGATCACAATTTAATACACAACTTGATAAAGTCAATTTTAAATTCAACTCAGATTAATAAAGACTTTATGTATATTCAGGTAATAAAGTTAATGGATTTCCACTAATCCATTACACAAATATAGTTTAATCATTAGTTCTTTAAATTGAAAACTTATATATATTTAGATCCTCATAATGAATTTCTCTTTATTAAATGAATTCCAAATATTCATTATCTAATTATACCAATTAAAATCTTAAAGTATTATAATTAACGCCAACCAAAACTACGCTTCCTTCTAATGCTAACACTTAAATTTAACCACCTCTAAAGAAATTGTTGAATTCCCATGTTGGAGTCAATTATGCATAATATCTAGATTAACTTGAAAATAAAACTGAATCAAAATGCTAGTTGTAAACTTAATAATATATTTAATCACCATATTGGTAAAATAATACAAAATTATTGTTTGATAATGCAACTAAACGAGGTTCATATTAAGACCAAAATCTTATGTGTTATACATTTTTACTATAAACAATTTAACCATCTTAATTAATTTTTGTAGCTATTAAATATGAGTTCAGCGCAGAATTTTATATTCGTTATAATAAAATTAAATTACCAATGGAGTTCTAAGCTATTTCTACAAATTTTGAATTTGTTAGTCTTATTGTATTACTGCTTTGTTGTGTGTTATAATTGTAAATTGTACCACTCCATAATTTATCAATATTTGTTTCTTTATACAATAATAATAATTAATAATTTCCTAAATTATAGATGTAAAAATATTCTGAAGATAAATCCCAATGGACTTCTTCACTGATATCATTTATCAGAATTTATCCTCCTAAGGCTGTTAAATTATTATTAAAAAATTAAAGATACAATTATGAATTTTTATCCGTTTTTTAAATCCATCCAACAACAAAGCCAATTGAAGGAATTAAAGTAATTCTGGCTTTGCTGCATGCCTTTGATTAATCTCCGATACTTTTTGCTGTTGTAATTTCGGTACCATCTCTTAAATATTTATTTATTTTGATTTGGTTATTTCCATCTTCATTTATTGTATTTTACAATAACAGTAATTCCTCACCCTCTAGTATGTATGTCTGACTATTTTACTCAGCTGTTGATGTAAAAAGATTAAATTGCCATTTATTGCTAGTCTAGCTTACCTCCGACAATACTCGGTTGAAGCTTGATAAAGATGCCACTATTAGAAGTGAAACTAAAATAATTTTCATTAATAAAATGTTTCAATACTACACTTTTCATTTGCTTAAAAATGATTTTTTCTCACCATAATCATTGCATTATTCTATCTGGAGTACCTAATTCTATCTAGTAAGAATGCTGATTAAACGTACTTATTCTATGGATAATTGCTAATGAAGCTATAAAAAACATTTCTAGTCTATTTTGAAGAAAAAAAGAGAAGAAAATAACAACTTATAAGAGGGCAATATAGAAAAAAATTGTAGTATAAAGTTTGATTTTAGAAATATATAAAAATAAATATATAATTATATATT